TTTATGGGGCCTTCCTTTTAATAGGTGACTTCTTTTTCTCTTTAAAACTTCTAAAACTATGTCAAAAAATAGTAGTGCATTCTCACCTTTAAAAAATTATATTTACTAGAAAAGTTTATGTACTTTCTACATTGGCAATAACACCAGCCCACAGAAATTGAAAAATGAAACAGACATGACTTCATTTTCAGTCAATAATTTTTTTTAGTCTTAATAAATTTCTTTGTAACTCATTCATCCTTTCTTCTTCCCCTATCATCACACAGGAAGAGGTCTTCCTCTTCCTTTCTTGGGCTGAATCTTCATCTAACTATGAACATGAGCCCACCATTTGCTTCCTCTATGAGGCTTTAATTATCTTATATTTTCTTTTCTCTCTGTAACCAAATTGGAGTCTGTCTCCCTCAAACCAATAAATAAAATACCTCCCCTAACTCTTCTATTTCTAGAGCTATCATCCTAATTTTCTCCTTTCCTTAAAAACCAAAGTCTTGAACAGACTAGTTTATATACCTTGCCTCTATTTCTTTATCACCAATCCATTTCTAAATTCCTTACGTTATGGTTTCTGCCCCTGTAATAATACTGAAAATTTCTCTCTCCCCAGTCATCTCCTGATCAATTTTTTCCCTCAGTGCTCATTTTTCTTAACCTGAGAATACTATTCAACACTGTTAATTACTCCCTACCTTGAAATCCTAGATGAAAAGCTTATACTACAGCACCATACAGTCTGTGGTTAAAAAAAATGAAAAGTTCTTCAATGTTCTACATGTCCTCACAAATCTAAAGATTAAGATGTTTAGAATACGAGAAACGTTTACTAATTCAAGGTTACTTATTAACCAAATTCATTAATCACATACATAATATTATATTTATATACAATAGTAGTTATGTGTATAAAATGTGCCTATTTCATTTACCTTAATTATATCCTCTACCAGAAGTCATAAGTTGATTGACACTCTGCCATAAAACAAGGAATACAGAAAAAAGGAGTAGTTTTCTGTTTAATGTTCAACTTTTATTACACTGTTCTGCATACAATGAATATTCATTCAATAAAAGTTAATTTTTTTTGTTCATTGCTTTTGTTCATTCAGAAGCTTTTAAATTTCCTGTAGTCACAATGACTGATTTCATTTTTCATAATTGCCTCTTTTCCTTGTTTGGTTAAGAATTCTCCTTTATAAAAGGAAATAAGAATTCTCCTTTATAGAAGAAGGAAACCTATAAAGCACTGTAACACATTAAGATCTTGTGGATTTTCCTGGCTCATTCTTTGTGCTTCACTTTCCTCTTCCAGTTATTACAATCCAGTTTTGATCCTATTTATAATACCAGAATGAATTCTCAATCCATTTCTGTCATTTGACATCAAGATACCAAAAAGAAAGAAAGAAACAAAGGATAGTGGTGCCCTCTAGTGACAGTGGAAGAAAGTACTAATTTTTAACTGAGTGAAATCAAGCTCAATGCTTGAGTATGCCCAGAGGTTCCCAAAGTGGGTGATACTGCCCTCTCAGGGGCGCTGGAACAATGCGGGGGAGTGTTAGTAGCCTTCAGTGCAACTGAGGCAGAAGGTATTGAATAAAAATAATGGGGCAGTGGAAGCATAAGAAAAGAAGAAACTATAAGAAAATTTTGAAAAATCATTGGTACATGTTTCATCTGTTGTGTAACATAGTCAAAGTTGTAATGATTACATTATTTTCCAAATAAACAGACAAATGCAAGTTGTAACTCATTAGCGGTCAAGTGCACCAACAGGTTTTAATAAGCAAGTGTTGGCAGGCAAGTGTGTCACTCATTGTCAGGAAGTCCAGCGTGCATCAGCAGGAATATGTGTGTGTAACAACTTGTTTATAATACAATACTGTATGGTTACATGGTGCAATATGGTGTCATCAAAATTTCAATGCAAGAAAAAATCCATAAATTTATAATAAATTGTTAAATTTAAGATGCATCATTTTTTAAAAAAACTATATTTTTTGAAATGATGTAAATTTTTTAAAAAGCCATTAAAGGGGTTAAAGAAAGTAGATTTCAGGGAAACTAGGTGGTGCAGTGGAGAAAGCATCAGCCCTGGAGTCAGAAGGACCTGAGTTCAAAGCTGGCCTCAGACACAACACTTACTAGCTGTGTATCCCTGGACAAGTCACTTGACCCCAACTGCCTCGACCAAAAAAAAAAAGTAGATTTCCAGGGAAGTATTAAGTAATTTTTTTTAAAAGAAGGGAGTAGGCCAAATAAGTTTGGGAACCTCTTTCTACAGCCAATTAGTTATCCATAGGTAGCAGGGAGGTAGACAGCATGAGAAACTGATACTTGTAGATAATTCAACATTGCATTTTAGCAAAGTAATATTACTCTACTCTCTCTTAAAATCTTTTACCAAAGATATTTTTTAAAAATGTAAGTTCATAGAATCAAAGAATTATAAAGTCGGTAGGGGTCTCAGAGGCAAACTAGTCCAATCCCTACCTGAACAAGAATATGACATCACTGACAAGTTTTCATCCAAGTTCTATTTGAAAACTTCTACTGAGGTACATCTTACTATTAAGGAAATTCTTTGCATTTCTGGACGGTTCTAATTATTGGGAAAGTATTTTTTGTTGTTGGTATTGTTGTTACAAGGAATTGAAATCTGCCTTTCTATGACTTCCACCCATTGATCCTAGTTTGAATAGTTTCAGATTTATTTTCTTTTATTAACAAAGTCATAATTAATCAGAATGTCTGTTAATTTGTTGTTGTTATTGTTGTTGCTAAGTAAGGGCTAACTGAAAATTCTTCTGGTTTCAAACCTTACTGAGAATCATTCTAAAAAGTACTGGTAAAGTATCTTGAATATAATTGAATCTTTCTTTGGCTCAGGATCTTTGAGTATCCCAAAGTCATGATAACATAACAATAACTGTAATTGGGTAGCACTGTAAATAAAGATTTAGGAGACTGGGCAGAAGTCATTCATCCAATACCTATTGATTTAACAATCTACTCTATGACTAGCACAGAGCACACAGTTACTCAAGACCACCTCTGGAAGCCGATGTTTTAAAAGAAGATTTTTAGCATGACAGCGTTATGGTGAGATTTGTCTAAAATTGGAGCACAGGAAAAAAATGGTGGAGAAGATTCAAGTTGGTTCCAATTATTCAAAGTTTTACCATTGCATTTATTCTGCTTAACCTCCTTATGGAAATGCTAATGACAGGGAAAATTGACTGGCACATTCACAAGTCAAGAATGGGTAACCAAGTCTTTATAGTTTCTTCAATACTTTAAGGATGATTTCATCATTGTAGATATTGCCCCTTTAATTGATGAAGAATAAAACATCTAGGAAGGCAGCATGAGATGCTGGAAAAAGCATGAGCTCTTGAGTCAGAGGATGTGAACTGAAATCCCTTCTCTGATGCTTACTACTTGTGTGACCTTGGGTAAGTCACTGAACCTCCCTATGCCTTGATTTCCTTATCAATAAAATGAGGGGCTTGGACAGCCTTACTGTGAGGTCCCTTCCAGCTCTAGGCTATGATCCTAATATGATCTCTGCCACTTAACAGACAGTCTTCTTGAGTTAATGCGGCAACAACAACAACAACAAAAACCACTCTGATCTCTTGGCCAAACTTCTGGTTCGAATTCAGGCAAGGTCGAATCTCATCACTATCCATGCGGTGGTATGTATTCCATCAACAGGCCTGTGCACAAAGTCTTACTGGCTCAACTTGGTAGTTCCCGACAGGGATGGCACTTGGCTGATACTGCCTTTAAATGACCACAGCTACCTCCATGGAATAATGAAGTAGGATTTAAGTGGGTGTCTTAACCCTTTACTCTACTCAACCAGGAAAACTAATATCAGAATGGAATATGGAAAAGGACAACTCATTTTACAAATCAATGGCCTGTCCCTAATGTCAGTTATATTCCAAATATGATGCCGAATCTTAATGGCCTCTGCATGATAGGATTGGTTCCCATCTAACTATAGCAGCTTAAATTTATTCTCAGATGGGATATGACTCATCGAAACCTAGACCAAAATGAATTCACCTCACAAAAGCATATCTAATCCCCAAAAAGGCTGAGAAATTTACCGGATCTTAACAGAGTCTGTAAGACAGAATGATGTAGAATTTAGGTTAAGAACTCAACAGATTGTTGGAGACAAAAATGCATTCCTTGGATTGGCTGCAGTCCGGACTTACTTAAAATCAAAATCAAACCTGTTCTGGGTTTGTGTTAGGGGCACAAGTTTGTCACGTCACTCCTCATTGAGTAAAGATTATCAGCTTGACAAACATGGGTTGTCTGTAGTAAGATTATAAATTTAAATGAATAGCTCCCCAAATTTCCCCACCAAATGGAATACTTTCCATTTTTTCATTTTCAGTTTTAAATCCTTAATTTATTCTTGGTAAAATTGATCTACTTTTCTCTTACATCAACAACTTTCTTTTTCCTTCCAAAATAAATATCTACCCATCCCCTCAACTCCTGCTCTTCTTCACTTTCAACAGTCTTCTCTTTTGAGTGCCCACCTATTAAAGCCAGAGGGCTAACAAGGCTCAGTGAGCTGGATTTTATGAAGCTATGGTTCTGGTCTTATTTTTAAACACTTGATTTTGTTCCCTAATTTTTTTCTTCTGCATCTTGACAACCTTTATTTATGGTTGCTTTGCTTTAATATTTTAGATGTGGCCACAGTAGAAACATGATAGAAACTTCTGAAATTCTGAGAAACAGATATATGTTTAGCATATTTCCAACACGAACATTTTTACTTACTTCTCTAGATCAGGTATCTAGAAAGTCCCAAAGTCACCAGATAACTAACTATCCATTTCACTTCAGTTGGATAGATTGGCCACATGTGTATTTTAATTTTTTCTAAGCAGTACAGAATGTAAAGCAATTCAGCCATTTCTGTAGCAAAATTTTAAATTGTAATGATTTAATGAAGTTGACACATGAAATCATACCTGAAGTTGAGCATTCATGAACATAAATTCCTGTTGCTGTTTCATGTTTTCACTCATATGTTTTGAAAAAAGAAATCCCATTTTGATCTAAAATGAAAAGATATTTATTTAGTATTCAATTGTTCTAGCATTATATATTTCTTGCATTTAATCATAAACTTGGTTTCTAGTTTTTCCTCCATGTACATTAAGGAACCGAAGAACTTCAAAAATCTTTTGGGTTTCTTTCAACATCATTGGGCCTGGAGTCAGGGAGATCCAAGTTAAAATGCAACCTCAGGCACTCACTAGCCATGTGACTCTAGACATGTCGCTTAAACTCTGTCTGTTTCACTTTCCTTTACTGTAAAATGGAGGTAATAATAGCACCTCCCTAACAGGGTTGTGGTGAGGAACAAATGCAATAGCATTTGTAAAAAGCACTTAGCTGGCACATCGCAGGTACTCATCAAATGCTTGTTCCTCTCCCTCTCTCCCTATATCCAATAGGTTTTTTTTGCAATCGGGGATAGGTGACTTGCCCAGGGTCACACAGCTAGTAAGTGTCAAATGTCTGACACCAGATTTGAATTTAGGTCCTCCTGACTCCAAAGCCAGAGCTCTTTCCACTGTGCCACCTAGCTGTCCTAGCAAAATAACTGTGATGGATCTATGCTCTCACTGATTTGGATGCTTCTTCCGATGGTATATTCCAACTCATCCTTACTTTTTCATGTTCATTCTATATAATGCTCCTTCACATCTTCCATAGGAGGATTGCTCAGCATCCTGGGTAGGGGGAATTCCTCTAAAATCTATGCATATGACATGCATACAAAGGAAGCATAAGGCTTGTCCATTTATTATCCCTTGCTCTTCGTTTATGACTCACCTCTTTTTCAGGTCATGCACTCTTGTATGACTTTTTTTTTGGGGGGGAGGCACTTCTCCCAATTCTTCATTAAGAATATATTGCAGTCTGCTCATGTCTACCATATGTCTCTCCATTGCTCTTTGGGTAACTTGCCACTGTATTTCTTTGAACACTGTGGTATTACATGACTTTCTCCCAAACAGCATCACTGTATGATATTAAATATTATAAAAAGTATATGTGGCAGGTTTTCAGGGATAGGTTCAGGATCATTGAAAAACATGACTCAATTTCCCAAAGGCAACTACACATATGTTCTACTTTGTGTTCAATTTTGGGCTTAGTTCATTTTCTATCTGCAGTGTCTGTTCCAACTAGTGGGCAATCTGTCCAAATGTAAACCATAATCTGAACAATAAGCCATTCTTCATTTGGCATAATATTGCCCAAGGAAGTAAGATGCTAATGACTATGAATTCAGACGTCTTACTTTTCCCATTTCTACATAATCTACAAATACACTTTGCTGAAGGCTTGAAAAGGGAACTTGAAGTCTTTTGAAAATGATACTCTGCCAAAGAATCACAAAATTGCTCCAAAGGTATAGAGAATATATAATTCCTATGTCCTTGTTGATTTTTTTTAAAGCATGAGATTCCAAAGAGCAAAACACGCCTTAAAGACCCAATAGATGGTTTCCTATATATGTGACAAAATCAAAGTAGATTCCTTGAGAGATGCAACAGACAGGATAACTTTTATTCAGTGACCCAATGATTACTAGTATCAACTGAAGCATAAGCCAAGGAGATATGTGTTTGCCATTTTAGTAGAATGCTTCCAACAAGCATTCCAAACAGAACAGAACAGAAATGGTCAGGTTCGCTAGATTATTCTGTTTGTAGATGATATTGTGCTGATTGTACTGAGTCCTGGAACACTGGAGATTTTCCTAAATGATTTCTTAAAAGGGCAAAAAATAGAAAAGTTTAAAAGATTTTTTTTCTTAATTTTCCTAGGTATTATCATATGCTTGTTTTATCGTCTTACCCATGCGCCTTGGGCAGTGTCAAAAGATCTGAGTTCTAGCTCTGCCAGTAACTAGATGCATGGCCATGGGCACATATCTTAACCACTCTGGGCCTCAGTTTCCTTATCTGTAATACCAACAGTTTAGATCAGATAATCTAAGGTTCTTTCCAGCTCTAACATTCTAGGATTCTTTATACTGTACAGCACTAACAGGTTAAAGAAGAGATGGGAATGATTTGTAATAAGTGGAAAGAAGTAATGCCGCTCACACTCTACTCCATGGGAATCATACTCCCAAAGATATCATGTAGGTAAGTGGCTTTGCCCACAAATGTGAAAACACAACCATAGATACAACTAAGAAGTAAACTTTCAGTCATTTTTCAGTTGGGTCCTACTTTTCATGACCTCATTTGGGGTTTTCTTGGCAAAGATTTGTTTTGGCAAAGAGTGATTTGCCATTTCCTTCTCCAACTCATTTTACAGATGAATAAACTGAGGTAAACAGAGTTAAGAGACTTGCCCAGGGTCACACAGCTAGTAAATGTCTGAGGCCACATTTGAACTCAGGAAGATCAGTCTTCCTAACTCCAGGCCCAGTGTTTTATCTACTGCGCCACCAACCTGCTCCAAGGAGTAAACTACTTTGGGGAAAAAACACAAAACCACTCTGCCATTTTTTGTTATTGATTGTTTTAAAAACACAAAGAAATTTTTTAAAAATTGTTCATTGTCCTTAGGCTTGTGTGAGTTTTAAAAAATGAAACAATGGATATGAAGTTGTTTGTTTTTTTAAGGATATAATGAGTGAATTGTATAAAACTGAAACTGTTCCCCTTTTTTCTTCTGAAGGCATAAATATGATAGGAAAGAGTTAGTTATGAAAGGCCTGATGGGTGAGGTAGACTATTATGGTTGTCCTATAATGGCAATAATGCCTCCCTACCTAAAGTTTGAACAGGTATTGCAAGCTGACCCCCTGAGAAGGTGGAAGGGGCTTGTGGACAATGAGAATTGTATGGCATTGATTATTTATTGTAAATATAGGCAGAAAATGCCTCTGAATATGGAATGTCAAAGCCATCTCTACTGCTTAATGTGTGAGTTAGAACAGCCTCCTTCCGTGTAAGCAGGATAATCTTGACCTGTAAATTTATGCCTTCCAGTGTGGATGCTTAGTGATTAGTTTTGAAAGCAAGAGTGTGGGCTACCTGGGGGGTTCTGAACCCTTGAACAGGGCATTTCAGTCTTGACTGGCTATTATTGGATCCAGGAATGAAAGTGAAAAGTAACAGTATGGATCCTTGGTTGTGTGCCTACAAAGTGACTGGGTAAAAAGGAAGACAGATCTACACTGTTGGATTCCCCACAGCTAGATGGCACAGTCAGTAGAGCAATGGGCATAAAGTCAGGAAGAGCTGAGTTCAAAACAGGCTTCAGATTCTTAATAGTTGTGTGATCCTACTCAAGTCACTTAACCTGTTTGCTTCAGTTCCCTCAGTTCTAAAATGAGGATTAGAGTATCATCTACTTCCCAGGGTTGTAGTGAGGATCATATGATATAATATTTGTAAAGTACTTAGGTCAGTGTGTGGCAGGTAGGCAGTTTTATAAATGCATGTTCCATTCCCTTCTCCTTTTGGATGTAGATGGGATTGCCCTGAGTACCCTAAAATCCATTTTGAAGGTACAAGAATTGAGTTCTACTATGGCCCAGGGCAGGTACTGTCAGACAGAGTAACAGCCCCAGTCCTACTGACAATCCCAGGAAATTGCCTATTAATGGTAAAACCCATTTGCCTTGATCTAAGGAGAGGAGAATGCTCAAGATTAGTCTGAGCTATCTAGGTCTTTAAGTGAAAGACAACACAACAGTAGCATGGGTGGCCGCATTGCATTTGGAGTCAGAAGACCTGGGTGTCTCCTTTCTTCCTCCTTCAATTACTGCTTCCAGGAAGCATTCTCCAACTAATCTCAGTCCATTTCAATTCAGGAAAACATTCACCAAACAGCTTTTACTTAAATGGTACTTCTGGAAGGTGCAAAACTCTACATAAATGAGAGCTACTGTTTATTCTGTTAATAAAAACAGCATGAAATAAACTAAACTAAAATAAAGGATTTGGAGTCAAAAGCCTTAGGCTTGAATCCCAACTACACCACTTGCTGTTTCTGTGACTTTAAGTGACCCCCTTCCTGTTTGCTCACCTGTAAAACAGCAAAGTACTTTATGAGTTTGTTAAGAAGATAAAATATGACACCATGCATGTAAAGTGCTTTATAAAACCATAAAGGGCTTTATAAATGCTAACTATTGTGTTTGTTTTCTATGTGAGCTGTAAGGGACAGCACTTGTCAGAAGTCGTGTTAAAAGAGTCCCTCCTCTGCCACAAAACCTTGAATATGATCCGAGCTCTCTGGGTCAAAACGCCTTCCCTACCTCAGAGGGTAGTTAGTGTAATGCTGAAACAAAACTACCCACCAGTACCACGTAATCTACATTCGATCACGGATTTAGAGTCGACAGGGCCTTTAGAGGTCACCTAGGCCAGTGCCCTTGCACCCCTCTGTTTGGGTAAGGAGGTAATGGGCGCTCAGAGGGATTAAGCGACTTCTTCAGGGTCACCCGCTAACCCAAGCAGACCTCCAACCTCACTGCCACGCCACTACTTAGCCTAGCCAGTCCCTCACAGGCGTGGCCAGGTTCCGCTGGACATGCAGGAGCATGCGCACCCCACCCCACTCCAGCCCGCGCTCCGGCTCCCAGACACCCACCCGCCCGCCCGCCAGGGCACGTGCCCCGACACTGGACCCTTAGTGATCCTAGGGGGAGCGCTGCGCTGCAGTCCCCGCGCCGGGAGCTCCCGGACCTGCTTGCTCCTTCTCACCCCCGCCCTCTCCCTGAGCCCTCCCAAAGCTTCTGGGCACGCTTACAGAGGACAGGAGGCTCCCAGGAGCTGCTCTCCTTGTTCGGGAAGGTGGCTAGGGCACTTGCGGGGCTGTGGACGAGTTTCCGAGGCGGCCTTGAGTCGGGCGGGCCCCGCCTGAGCAAGGTCCGGTGAGTGGCTAAGGCATTCTGTGAGCCCATGGCCAATCAGCGCGCAGCCTGGGGTTCCTTAAAGGAACAGGCACCCTCTTGGACCCAGTTCTGTTGCTATAGCCTGCCAGCCCTGCTGCCAGCTCCCCCTTATTCCCCTGGCGGCTGTAACTGCCACCTCCACCAGAGCACACCTGGGGTGGTGGTGAGGAGGGGAGCTGACTGGCATACGAGCACCCAGAGCTCAAGAGAGATGGGGCTAGAGTCTTGGCTTTTGGATTTCACGAGTCTGTGAACATGGATGGGCAAAAAATTACATTTCTATTTTCACTAACCTTCGGTTTCCTTTGTAGTCCCACGTCTTTTCTTTTTTGCTTTTGGAATTTTTACTCTGAGAAGGAATCGGTAGGTTTAGCCAGACTGCCAAAAGGGTTCATCACACTGAAAAGTTTAAGAAGTCCTGATCTAGGGCAAGCATAGACAGAATGAGAAGCCTAAAGAAAGTAGTGCAGTAATAAGTATTTATTAAGTGCCTGCTGTATGTCAAGGCACTGTGTTAAATATTTTACAAATACGTCATTTGAGACACTGTAAAGTAGGTGCTGTTAATCTTGGATTTTACAGTTGAGGAAGCTGAGGCAGACAGAGGTTAACTGTCTTGCCCAGGGTTACACAGCTAGCGTGTGTCTGAAGGTGGGATGTGAACTCAGGTTTTGCTGACTTTAGGCCCGGCACTGTATCCATTGAAGTATCTGACCAGAGGTAACAGGTTACAACTAGCAGAGTCAAGATTCAAACCTAGGTCATTTGGCTGGAAGTCTTATCTACTTTATAATGCTGACCTTTCACTCTTGCCCTTTTCACTGTACCACATTACAGATAAAGAAACCGGAAAGTCGTATTACTCAGTCTGTTCAAGATCTGTTCAAAGGTCACAGGTTCTGCCCCCCGTGGAAAGCAAACCTAGATCCCCTGCTAATAGGTCTACTGCCCTTCCATTCCATCAAAATCTCACAGAGAAATCCAAAATTTGATCTAATCAGGGCCTTAGGTTGGGTTCTGCTCCAAATCCTATTGCCCAGTAACATGAGCAGTGGTTTTCAGGGATCCTTAAATAATCTTCCTTACTCTAAGCCCAGGACTCACCACTATACCATTCTGCTACTATTCAACATTAACATACTGTGATTAAAGTACTTTTAAAATTTTAGTGAATTCTATCAAACATTTAAAGAACAACTAATTCTAATACTATATAAACTATTTGGGGAAAATAGGCGAAGGAGTCTTACCAAATTCTTTTTATGATACAGATATGGTGCTGATACCTAAACTGGGAAGAGCCAAAACAGAGAAAGAAAATTATAGACCAATTTCTCTAATGAATACAGATGCAAAAATTTTAAATAAAATATTAGCAAAGAGATTATGTAATACAGAACATTATTTTGCCATTTAGGTAGTAGGGCCCTTTAAGCCATAGAAAGCAAAAGTTGGTGCTTAATCTTACCCCAGACCTCTTTCCTCCTAAATCTAAACAATAGTGAAATGTACTCTGGCATAGCTCAGCATAGCCGGTACCTCCAATGCAAATGGATAAGAAAGCTTGCAATATAATTGCTTTAGATAATTATGTTTATACCAGAGACCAGGACACCTGGTCTGGTTTGTGTGATCTCTGATCTGTAATAATGGGGTGCTTAGGTGCTTGCGCTTGTACTTGTGCCCCAATTTCTCCCTAGTCTCAGAAACACTGTCTCTAACAACCATTCCCCAGCCCAAGGACACTGTGCCTAGCAGTTATTCATGCATGGGCCTCAGCATGATCCTTATCTCTCTCCCTGGTACAGCTACACAGAGCTGGGGCTGCTCAGGCTCCAGCCCTCAGATCATGTCTCTGGAAGCCTCCCAATTCCTCAGTAAGTTCCTGTGTTGTAAGAAAGCTTTCCCTTGTTGCAGATCATTCTCTCATCAAGACAGAGGGAGAGGGGTGTCCTTGACCAGCCCAAGAACTCTTCCTCTTGCCAGACTTCAAAGATCTATCCCCCTCCCTGTCCTGTATACTCCCTGTACTTTCCCATCCATAGCCTCCAAAGACACCTGCATCTTTGGATTACCTCATCAGTGTTCCTCACATTTCTTTCCCATGTTCTTTTCTATATAAACCCTAGTTCGACCCCTGATGGGGGCTGCTTGATTTGGATGTGCATTCCCCTGGCAGCCGCGCACTAATAAATCCACATCTTATATTACATCTGGGTTTCACTCGCTGATTTCTCGGTACAACAATTACAGCAACTTATCTCAAGGATAATACACTATGACCAGGTAGGATTTATACCAGGAATGCAGGGCTGGGTTCAATATTAGGAAAACTATCAGCATAACTGACCATATCAACAATAAAACTAACAAATCAAATGATTATCTCAATAGATGCAGAAAAGGCATTTGACAAAATACAACACCCATTCCTATTAAAAATGCTAGAGAGGGTCAGGTAGATGGAGCACTGGTCCTGGAGTCAGGAGGACTTAAGTTCAAATCTGGCCTCAGGCACATAACACTCACTAGCTGTGTGACTCTGATGTGTGACACTTCAAAATTGTACTAGAAATGCTAGCTTTAGCAATTAGAGATGAAAAAGGTGAATCTATCACCAAGGAAGAGGAAATTAAAACAATAATTAAAAACTATTTTACGCAACTATATGCCAACAAATTTGACAGTCTTAGTGAAATGGATACATATTTACAAAAATATAAATTGCCCAGATTAACAGAAGAGGAAGTAAAATACTTAAATAACCCCATCTCAGAAAAAGAAATTGAATAAGACATTGATGAACTCCTTAGGAAAAAATCTCCAGGGCCAGACGGATTTACAAGCGAATTCTATCAAACATTTAAAGAACAATTAATTTCAATACTATATAGACTATTTGGGAAAATAGGTGAAGAAGGAGACTTACCAAATTCTTTTTATGATACAAATATGGTGCTGATACCTAAACCAGGAAGAGTCAAAACAGAGAAAGAAAATTGTAGACCAATTTCTCTAATGAATATAGATGCAAAAGTTTTAAACAACATATTAGCAAATAGATTACAGCAACTTATCACAAAAATAATACACTATGACCAGGTAGGATTTACACCAGGAATGCAGGGTTGGTTCAATATTAGGAAAACTATCAGCATCATTGAGCATATCAACACCAACACCAACAGAAACCACATGATATCTCAATAGATGCAGAAAAAGATTTTGACAAAATACAACACCCATTCCTATTAAAAACACTAGAGAGCATAGGTATAAATGGAGTCTTCCTTAAAATAATAAATAGCATCTACCTAAAACTTTCAGCAAGCATCATATGTGATGGGGACAAGCTAGAAGCATTTCCAATAAGATAGGGGGTGAAACAAGGATGTCCATTATCATCACTGTTGTTCAATTTTGTACTGGAAATGTTAGCTTTAGCAATAAGAGAAAAAGAAATTGAAGGTATTAGAATAAGCAAAGAAGAAACAAAGCTATCATTCTTTGCAAATGATATGGTGATATACTTAGAGAATCAAGTAAAAAACTACTTGAAATAATAAACAATTTTAGCAATGTTGCAGGCTATAAAATAAAACCACATAAATCATCGGCATTTCTATATTACCAACAAGGCCCAACAGCAAGAGATAGAAAGAGAAATTCCATTTAAAGTTACTGTAGACATTATAAAATTATAAAAAGGAGTCTACCTCCAGAAACAAACCCAGAAACTATATGAACACAATTACAAAACACTTTTCACACAAATAAAGTCAGATCTAAATAATTTGAAAAACATCATTTGCTCATAGATAGGCTGAGCTAATATAATAAAAATGACAATTCTACCTAAATTGAATTACTTATTCAGTGCCATACCAGTCAAACTACCAAAAAATTATGTTAAAGAGACAAAACAATAACAAAATTCATTTGGAAGAACCAAAGGTCCAGAATATCAAGGGAATTAATGAAAAGAAATGCAAAAAAAGGTGGCCTACCTATACCAGATCTTAAATTGTATTGTAAAGCAGCAGTCATCAAAACTACTTGGTAGTGGCTAAGAAACAGAGTGGTGGATCAGTGGAATACGTTAAATATGCAAGACACAACAGTTAATGGCTATAGTAATCTACTATTTGATAAATTCAAAGATTCCAGCTTCTGGGTTAAGAACTCACTATTTAACAAAAACTGCTGGGAAAACCTGGAAAATAGTGTGGCAGAAACTAGGCATAGACCAACTTTTTTTTTTAGTTTGGGTTAAGTGACTTGCCCAGAGTCACATAGCTAGTAAGTATTATGTGTCTGAGACTGGATTTTAACTCAGGTCCTCCTGACTCCAGGGCCAGTGCTCTATCTACTGCACCACCTAGCTGCCCCCATAGACCAATATTTTACACCTTATACCAAGATAAAGTCAAAATGGGTACATGATTTAGAAATACAGATTGATACTATAAACAAACAAGATTAGTTTACCTGTCAGATCTATGGAGAAGAGAAGAATTTATGACCAAACAAGAGATAGAGAACATTATGAAATGCAAAATGGATGATTTTGATTACATTAAATTGAAAAGTTTCTACACAAACAAAACCAATGCAACCAAGTTTAGAAGGGAAGCAGAAAGCTGGGAAAAAAATTTTACAACCAGTGTCTCTGATAAAGGCCTCATTTCTAAAATATATAGAGAACTGAGTCGAATTGATAAGAATACAAATCATTCCCCAATTGATAAACTGTCAAAGGATATGAACAGGCATTTTTCAGAGGAAGAAATTAAAGCTATTTATAGTCACATGAAAAAATGCTCTTAATCACTATTGCTTAAAGAAATGCAAATCGAAACGACTCTTGAGGTACCACATCACACCTATCAGTGTGGCTAATGACAGAACAGGAAAAAAATAAATGTTGGAGAAGATGTGGGAAAATTGGAACACTAACGCATTATTGGTGAAGTTGTGAACTGATCCAACCATTCTGGAGAG